ACTATCTCTTGACTTCTGACATTAGACAAAACTAACTTATTGTGTGTGATTAAAGTTGATGTCACAACCTTGACCCCATATATTGAGCAGGATCGGGGACTGGTCGAAGCGCTGACTTATGCCCTCCAACGTAAGTAAGTACAATTTTCTTCATGTCGGCAGCTACAGGGACTTCAAGCTCAGGAATTACTTTCTAAACGGTACACCATTGCAGCAGGTTGACAGTCAGAAGTACTTGGGTGTGTGGATTACATCCACATTCTAGCCAATACGGAACTGCGCGAGGGCGGTCAATTCGGCCATGTCTATATTACAAGTCATTAGGTAAGCCTTTATAGGCTTTGAGGCGGAGAAGTTCAGAGGGCTTGCGGTCGCCTAAACCTTCCTCTTCTTCTTCTTCTTCTGTTACGAGTACATGGTTGTGTTCACGATCAGAAAGTGGAGTGAGTCGAAGGGGCTCGGTGTAAGGAACATCAGTGGGATGGTCGCATAAGAAAGTTTAAACTTCTGAGAGAATGGTGGGTTTGTGGGGGGAGGGAAAGAACCTCAGTTAGTCTGAGTTGTCCTGGCAGAGAAAACAGTAACCCCGATGCGGAAGAAGTAGAGTTCAGGGGCCTGCTGCCTAAATTCTAGAAGGAAAACAGTGACTCCACGGAGATAAGTAGCAGCAGGTCAGCTAGGTCTGAGAGCGCAGCCCTGATTCACTCTGCTGTTCTCAGCGAATGCCTCCGAGACAGCTCTATTGTCCGTGACTCGCGCCATCATGCCATCGTTTAGCTGACACACCATCTGAGTGAATCGCTCGGGACAGACGACTTTCTGCATAATTTTCCACCGTCTGTCACGATGCATCATGTCAAGTCTTTCATCAGATCCACGAGGGTGGAGTAGAACTAGGTCGGCATCTCGTGACGCTTTTCCTGCAGTTGACGGGCGGCGAAGATCATGTCGGTGATGGCGGAAACCAAACTCTGCCTTTTTTGAAGGTTGGTCGTTCGTTCGAGCCAGTGTAAACTTCGTGGATGCAGGGTGGGTGGTTCGTGCGTTACAAGGACTCGAGTGCGCAGTTTGTGGTTATTCATCATCAGATAGGTCAGGAACCGTATCTGTCATGATCACACAGCCATCGCATCGTGTCTCGAAGTCGGTGATGATGATCAACTCGGATCACACGTGAACAACAAGACACCCTGAAACAATGAATTATCAGCAATCTGCAGGCATAGTCTCCTATCAAGTTCCGAAATGTGTTAGTTATGTGTCTTACTTCCTCAGTCCCAATCGCACACCGAGCTGGTCAGGTGGGAGTGGACGCTATGACCGACAAATCTAGCCGCTTTGCCTGGACGTGCCACACACATGACCTGACCCCCCCCCCTCCCCAGACACAAGCGTCAGGATCTCACACACAAGGGAGTGGGCGACATGCATTTCAAGTGTGTGTGTGAGAGTGTCAGAGGTCATGTCGAGAAGGAGGCATTCCAGCCTGACTCTCAGTCCACGAGTCGACCATTGAGCACAAACGCACGTTGGGCTGAATGCAAGGCCTGAGTTCCATCGGTAGTTGGCAGTCTTGCAAGTCATCACGGAGTTTAACGCATCGTGACAGTCTCAGGCTCGGATCACACATGCACCAGAGGGGCCACATGCAGAAGGAGCCGGGAAACACTTGCAGCTTTCGAGGAGAGATGTGCCAATCACGTGCCAGCGTGGTGTGGTGTTGAGTGTGGTCATGTTTAGAGTAGATGCTGGTGAAGAGAGATGTGGTAGTATGGTATGGACGGCGGTGCCTTCTGGGTTGGGCGCAAGAAATTTCGTGCGCCTGGCGGGACACAACTGAATAATAATAATAAGTAATCATAATGGCCAGGAGTTGGAGCATGCATTTTTGATAGTGGGCATTGTCACCTAACCGCACAATGGAATGGTTGTACCCAGAGGTACGCACATGGAAATGAAGGAGGTGTTGATTGCTGTGGAAACAGACGATTGAGACACAGCATGTGACGGGGGCTGCAGAAGCTGAATATAAGGCAGTGGCGAGAATGGTTTCAGCGAGGCGAGGCCCAACCTTTGGATGTGCGCCGAGGTGCGTGCGTGCGTGCGTGCACACATGACCTTTGTCCGCCTACAATCCCGATCAGCAAATGACACAACGCCGATTGGTCGCAAGCTGTCTCCACGACGTGGCCATGTCACGTGCGTAGCAACTGGCAGGAGGTGTTAGTTAAGCTGACAGAAGGCGTCATGAGATAACAACCAGACTGGCGACCAGGAGAACGGAGCCCGGTGGTTAAACTTCCCGGCGTGGCTGGCGTAGACGGTCCAGGTCTCCATTCCGTACAGAAGTGCTGTCAAGACGACCGCTTGTACATCTTGAGTTTGCTGATCATTTGGCGACCGTGGCGATTCCACACGGAAGCTTACAGCCTGGCTTTTGTGGAGGAGGGAGGTGTGTGGATGTGTGATGTGACCGGCGGTTGTCTACCGCAGGTCGCCGTGGATGCGCATGTGACCGAATAGACCCATGCGATGCATGAAGGTGCGAGGACAGTGTGGGCAGTGGAGACGAGCATGGTGGGTGTAGGTTGGTGCTCCAGGCACTGGTTCGCCAGTCTCTGTGCGATGGATTCGCAGGTGACCGACCAGGCCGATGCGTGAAGTGAAGGTGCGATCGCAGTGAAGGCAGATGTAGTCCTGGCCCTCACGTCTGATGATGGAGGTTGCAGGGGTTGTGCCTGTTGTTGTGTCAGGTGCGGCTGTGGTGAAGTCGTGGGCGACAGACGCCGAGGCGGCCGTCGTTGTGGCAGTGAAGGAGGAAGAGGAGTAGGAAGGGGAGGAGTGGGGGGTAGTAAAGTCGGTGGCATCGACGGCGGTTGCGGAGAGGTTGTTGGCCGCACAAGGTGATGAACTGGGTGCGGGGCCTAGTGTTGTGGGTGTGTCAAGGCTGCGGTCAATGCCGCTCTCGTGGATGCGCATGTGGCCGAATAGACCCATGCGATGAATGAAGCTGCGAGGACAGTGTGGGCAGTGAAGGCGAGTGCGGTGGGTGTAGGTTGGTGCTCCAGGCACTGGTTCGCCAGTCTCTGTGCGATGGATTCGCAAGTGACCGACCAGGCCGATGCGAGAGGTGAAGGTGCGGTCGCAGTGAGGGCAGGTGTAGTCCTGATCCTCATCAGCAGTATCGGGAGAGGTGGTGTCGGTTGTTGTGTTGGGGTTGGTGATGTGTGAGATGGCAGTCTGAACGGCCGCCGCTGGGGCAGTGGGGGAGGAGTAGGAGGAGGATGGAAGTGGTGGTACAGAAGAGTTAACAGAGTTAGTTGGCGGCAGAGAGGACGAGGAAGAGGCGGGCGGGGGGACGATGGCTGGAGCAGTTCGAGAGGTGCAGTTGATCCGCAGATTTTCAACAAGTCCGATTCGTGCCCGGAATGTCCGTTGACATCGAGGACACGTAGGGAGAGGTTGTGCGGCGGCGTTGCGTACTGGGCGAAGTTGTGATTTGCGGACTTCGCCTTTCGCTTTGGCGGCGGCGATTCGGTTGGCTTCATAGATAGCAGCGCCCGTCTTCAATGTTCTCCTCCATGTCGGAAGATCGCGGGCGAGATCTTCCCAGTTGGACGGGTTGATTTGCAGGCGCTTCAGGGAGGACTTCAGGGTATCCTTGTAACGGCGAATTTGGCCTCCTTGACGACGAGAACCCGTCGCGACGTCTCCGTAGAAGAGTCGTTTGGGTAGTCGCTCGTCGTCCATGCGCAACAGGTGGCCACTCCAGCGCAGCTGCATTTGTCTCAACATGGAGTAGATGCTCAGGATTCCCGTCCGCTCCAGCACATCGGTGTCAGGGATGCGGTCGCGCCAGTTCAGCCTCAGGATGCGACGGAGACAACTGAGGTGGAAGTGTTCCAGTCGACGTGCCTGCCTCGTGTACACCGTCCATGTCTCTGCTCCGTACAGTAACGTCGGCGGGATGACGGCCTTGTACATCTTCAGCTTTGTGCTCAGTTGGAGACCGTAGCAATTCCAAACTGTGCTTTGGAGGCGACCGAAGGCTTGACTGGCTTTCGAGATTCGGTTGGCGACTTCGTCATCGATCTTTGTGTTGCGAGATAGGGTATTTCCCAGGTACGGGAAGTTCTCCACCACTTGCAGTTGGGTTCCATTCACGCTGATTTGCGGCGCGTTGGGGGCTGTGGCTAAGTTGGGCGGAGGTTGGTGCACCACCACCGTCTTCTGCGTGTTAATGATCAGACCGAAGTTCTCGCAGGCAGCGGAGAATAGGTCCATGCTCCGTTGCATCTCGGCTTCGGAGGTGGTGTTCAGGGCGCAGTAGTCGGCGAAGAGGATTTCGTGCACGGTAGTTGTGGATACGCGCGATTGGGAGTTCATGCGCCGGTGATTCAGGAGATGACCGTCCGTTCTATAGGCGATGCCGATTCCAGGGCGTTCGTCGCGGTAGGCGTCCATCAGCATGGAAGAGAACATAAGGCTGAAGAGGGTTGGTGCCAGCATGCATCCCTGCTTCACTCCGTTGGTCACAGCAAATGCCTCTGAGACAGCTCCGTTGTCCATGACTCGCGCCATCATACCGTCGTGCAGCTGACGCACCATCTGAGTGAATCGCTCCGGACAGCCGAATTTCTGCATGATCTTCCACAGTCCTTCACGATTCACCGTGTCGAAGGCTTTCGTCAGGTCCACAAAGGTAGAGTACAGGTGGGTCCGCATCTCCTGGCACTTCTCCTGAAGTTGGCGGGCGGCGAAGATCATATCCGTGGTCCCACAATGACGACGGAAGCCGCATTAACTTTCCGGCAGAAGGCCCTGTTCCAGGTGGTTATTGAGGCGGTTGAGCAGGATGCGAGCGAAGATCTTCCCGGCGATGTTCAGCAAGGAGATGCCACGGTGATTGTCACAGACTTGGCGGTTCCCCTTTCGCTTGTAGAGATGCACGATGGTTGCGTCCTTGAAATCTTGCGGGACTTCACCTTGACGCCACATCTCCTGGAAGAGCGCAGTCAGGTGATCCATGAGTTGGGGACCTCTGTGCTTGTAGTCCTCAGCAGGGATTGCGTCCGATCCGGGTGCTTTCCCGCTAGAGAGCTGCTGCACGGCCCTGATGGTTTCTTGGAGAGATGGCGGGAGGTCGAGGTCCACGTTGGTCTCCACTTGCGGCAAACGCTCGATGGCGGCGTCAGAGATGGCGGAAGGGCGGTTGAGGACGCCTCGGAAATGCTCGGCCCATCGCTGTAGGATTTGCGTCTTCTCAGTCAGGAGAGTGCTGCCGTCGGCGCTGAGGAGAGGAGCAGTGCCCTTCGTCGGCGGACCGTAGACAGCTTTGATCGCGGAGAAGAAGTTCTTCCATTCGTTGCGGTCCGCGTAGCCTTGGATCTCCTCAGCTTTGCGAGCAGTCCAGGCGTCCTGCATCTCGCGCAGACGTTGCTGATGTTGGCGGCGACTGCGGTAGAAGGCAGCTTTGTTGTCCTCAGTGGGGTGATCTACGTAGGCTTTGTGGAGGCGGTTCTTCTCAGCAAGCAGATTGCTGATGGCAGAGTCGTTGTCGTCGAACCAGTCCTGGTGTTGGCGGGGAGCGCGACCGAGGACGGCGAGCGCCGTCGACTGGACCGTGTCTCGCATTTGACACCTGCGGTTCTCCACGGAGGCGTTCTCGGCAGCGGCGGCATCGGCGATGGGGAGGTTGTGTAGACGTTGAGCTAGCTCATTGCTGAAATGAAGATGGTGAGCAGGCAAAGACAACAAGGCAACATTCAGCTTACCTGGGGGTCGCTTACCTTGTGGTCGCCTGCGAGGTTGTAGACGAATACGCATCTTCGAGATGACTAGGCGATGGTCGGTCCACCCATCAGCACCCGCGATCGCCTTCGTCACCAGCACGTCCCGCTGATCTCGCCTCCGGACGAGGACATAGTCCAGCAGGTGCCACTGACGCGACCGAGGATGCCTCCAGGTGGCCTTCTCTCGCTCCGGCAGACAGAAGAACGTGCTCGTCAGGATGAGGCGGTGTTCTGCGCAGGTGCGGAGGAGAAGCAGGCCGTTGTCGTTGGAGCCGCGGAGACCATGGGGACTCAGCACTCCTCTCCAGGCAGTATGGTCTGTGCCGACGCGGGCGTTTAAGTCACCAAGGACAATCAACTTGTCCGCCTTCGACACAGTCGCCAAGAGTGCGTGCAGGTCCTCGTAGAATTTGTCTCCTGCGGCGGCGTCGGGGCTGGTCATCGGCGGAGCGTAGGCGCCGATGATGGTGGCGAATTTTCCCCCACCCCGGCGGAGAGGCAGGCGGAGGCTCATCAGGCGATCGTTGATTCCCTGCGGCAAACAGGGTAGTCGTCCCACGATGTCGGTCCGGATGGCGAAGGCAACACCCGCGTCTCGTCGCTCTGCCTTGGGTCGACCACTTCAGAAGAAGGTGTAACCGGCACCCACCTCCTCCAGTTGGCCTTGTTCGGAGAATCGGGTCTCGCTGAGTGCGGCGATGTCCACCTTGTAGCGCGCCAGTTCTCGTGCCACTAGCGCCGTCCTCCGTTCCGGTCGGTTGCTCCTCGGATTGTCTAAAAGGGAACGAACATTCCAGGCTGCCAGAGTGAGCGGGCGCACCCTGCCAGTCTGGCCAATGCGGCGGCGAAAAGTAGGAGTAGTAGAGGAAGAAGAATAGGCTGGAAGAGGAAGAGAGTGATTGTTGTTGTAGTTGTTGTTGTTGTTGTTGTTGTTGTTGTTGTTGTTGTTTCGATTTTGGCTGTTTCAACCGTGTGTTTTTTGTCTGCCGCCACGCCAGCCTACAGACAGCGTGGTTCCCAGCGATCTTTAGGGCACCTTTTCTAGCCCCCTCCCCCTCGCGGGGGCAGGCAACGCATCCCTGAACAGGGCTGCCCGGTTATCCCAGACGGCTGCCGGACTACACTATGGGCCACGACATTTTGTTAGTGAGAGAACGACCCGAATTAGCCTGAGACCTTGGTGGTGATGGTGATGTGATGGAGTGAAGTAGGAGAGAGCATACACACTACATAACGCTATGGGACTTACAGCTAGCTAGAGTGGACAAACAGACACAGTCATCAGTCAGAGACACAAGTGAGAGGGCACCATTCAAGTGTCAAGCTCCATAGCACCTAGCTATTAGCAGAGAGTGGCATAGACTGACAGACAGACAGTCGCAGCAGGCAGCGAGGGTTTCGTCTAGCTATTATCAGACTGACTAGCATACAGAGGGCAGGCAGCAAGAGCAGCATACGACACGGAACTTCAACAGACAATAGGAAGAAACAGAGCAAATGCACTTACCTGAGGGGGAACTTACCTGGTGGCCTCCTGCGATGGTCCAGGCAGAGCCTCGTCTCGACGATGTCGACGCGAAGATCCATCCGTCCAGCGCAGACCACAGTGCCGCGCGTGCAGGTGCACGCACGGATACCCTCACCTGGTTTAGCCCGCCGGTCGAGACGGTTGCCCGGGGTGTGGCCGCTGAGCAGAGCCCAGCTACGTGGAGCCGCAGGTGAGAGTTAGGTGTCAGCAAATGGACGCTAGGCGTAGTCTCACATGCGAGCATCACGTGAACCCACCGCTGGACACCCCTACACCCCACACACACACACACACACACACACACACACACACACACACACACACACACTCACTCTCTCTCACACACAAACACGACAGTTCGACCGTCGATTTCGATAATGTCCACCGTGTGCCCCACAGCTGCAGCAGCGGTGGGAGCAGGGACGGTGACTTACGCAGGGGTTTATAGTGCCAGTAGACTTGCGTAGCATCTCCTCCTCCCCCGCCTGAGCCCGGTGTCAAGACAGTGTCAAGAAGACCGGAGACGGGGGAGGCCGCAGGTGGATGGCTCGGACGGATCCTCGCCTTGGCGCTCCACTCCGCACCCCCTGGTCCACACAACAATGACCAAGATTTTGACCACAAAACCATGGGGTGGTGACAGTGGTCCAGTTGTGCGACGAATGCCGACAACACGGTCCGCCAGCGCACGCCGCGAATGTTGGCATTTGTTACTGCTCACAGATAACGCCTTCCAGAGTCCGATGTGGCCCCCGTGTTGGTCCAGCGCATCTAACACGTCCAACCCCATATGCGGAATAAGTGTTTGAAAGTCAAGGAACAATCAAGTGTATTTGCATTGGTGCTTTGTTTTTAGAAAGACGAAGAAGCAGACGCCATTGCGGAAATACTAATTTCGTTAGACTGACCTCTCGAATTCACAGCATCAGATAATGATGGATGATGCAACCCTTGTGCATTCATGGTATTCTTCCTTCGGCCTTCGCCAGAACACTCATCTCTTGCACTGTGACGCTCGAAAAAAAACCCGGACGAAGTATCCCAAGAATAGCGACATAGGGTTAGTCGGAGTACGTTTGCTGTGGCAAGACAGTTTCGTTTGGCCAACTCCTGAATGGAATAGACTTGATGGTGTTCACTAGCCCCTCTAGCCACAAAAATCAGGCTTCCCGCTGATGTGCCTGAAAGTCCACCCGCAGACATGGGAGGACCTCGTTCAAGGACGATAACAACAACGACTCACCATCGCCATCCTTTCCGATTGGCCACAGGGGGGACAACGTAAATCAAATTTTTGGTACATACGAGGAGCACCTGTCTGTCTGGATCCCCCACCATCTGCGCCAAGGCGTAGGGACCAGCAATTGTTTCGGCGTGCCGAGCACCAATTGTCGAGGCTGATGGCCCCCACGCAAGTGCCTCGAGTGCGCCCATGCGCGTGTGCGTGCGTGTGTGAATGACCTTTGTCCGCCAGCAATCGATCAGCACGTGACCGTGTCACGTCGGTTGGCGCGTGGGGCTGTCGCCAAATCAGGGCCAAGTCATGTGCGCCGCACGCATTCGACTAACACGAGGTTTTAGTCTGAGCGAAGTCCTTTTATTTGCTCAATGAATTTTAGTGAACGCTGAAATTCATTTTGGATGCTGTATGGAATCTAGCTTGATGAAGAGACGGCAGGCGCAGGGTTCGTTTCTACTATCAGTTTCGTTTCCTCAAGGAGGCAGCTAGTGACGAGCAGACTGAGTGAAAAGTACTCAAAAGAGATTGGGTGCAAACAGATGCTCATTTGCGTCTAGGTTAAACAGTTCTACTTAGAAATGGAAGAGCTCGACTTCTCAGGCAAATACTATTGTGGCACAAAAGACATTTATTCGCTTCCACAAGTAAATCGACCATCGCTTCAATTCTGTCTGAAGCAGGCGCCTCATGCTCCATTAATTTCTCCTTGTGAAACGAATCGTATATGCAGCCATGTAATACCTATCGGAAAAAGGGCATTGGAGACCAGGCATGCTGGTTATGTAGGACGCCTTTCGGCCATACAGCTGTGGAAGCATTTCACGTGAATCGCAATTGGCGTTGCCAAAGTTAGCATTGAATTCCTAGAACTTCCGTTGCTTCAACAGTGATGAGGGTGTACTCGTGCGCATGCTCAGCAGTGACCAGCAAGATGCCTTCTGATACGCAGGGAGGTTGACGCCAAAGGCACTGTCGACGATAGGCACTACATTTCAGACCAAATCTGTACTTTTGAGAGTTGGGACACGGGAATAGGCACACCCCTACCCCTCCCCCTTCCCCACGCCCTCATCCACGTTACAGATGGCAAAGTGCTAGTTTCAGAGAGGATACCGATTCCCCTGTTCTAAATCTACCTCCTCTCGGAATCTAGCTCAATCGCAATCGTAATACTGGCGTTGGCCAATTCCCTTGCCCTAATCCTGACGCCTGGCGTACAGTGAGAATCACTCCCATCCCTAAAAAAACCCGCTAATTTTGGTCCCTACTCTTTTCGTCCAGTTGCCGGCTCTTCCGCAATACTAAAGTTCGCTGAAATAGTTGCCCTAGATATAATACGTCCATACACTTCCAGATTTTCCGATCCGCTACAATTTGCATATAAAGCCAAGCGCAGCACTGTGGATGCTGTTGCTCTTGTGGTCCACTCTGCCCTAAGAGAATTAGGTAAGGGTTGCTTTTCCTGACTACTCCTCCGTTTTCACTACCGTTCCGCGCCCTCTCCTTTTTAACAAAACATCGCGTGCGGCTCTCTAGGCTGGGTCGTCTCTTGGCTTAGCCATTATTTCACTTCCCACACTCCATTTGTCCAATCTGACAAGCGGGAATCTACGGTCCTCCCCAATGACTGAGGAGTTCTTCGAGGTCCCATTCTATCCACTCACCTTTACTCCCTCCACACCGATGATCTAAGACTCCCTTACGACTCTAAGCAGGCTGATGATGTGGCTGTTCGACACCCTCTTAAAAACCGGCCACATCTCCAATCGCTGAAGGATGGCCTTGACTATGTCCTAGTATTGTCGGAGGAAAATGGTCTCTTAATGAACAACCAAAAATCAGTCCAGTGTATTTTCCAACTGCAGCCATCTCCTAGTCCTCACTCCCTTAACATCCTTCCTAACGAGGCGTCCTCTTTCAGGTGCCTTGGCGTTAGTTTGTCATCAAATCTTTCATTTTCCTTCCATATTGAGACCCTATTTACTAAAATTCGTTGTTTACGTTCCTACCACACACCTCAACCCGTAATATGACGATTCATAGATGCCTGCATCCTGCCTCTTATTCTATATGGCTCTCCAGTCATTTTTCCAGCTTTGCTTACAAAATATATGTTAATTTTAAAACGAGTCCACCGAATGCTCTCTACTGTCGCCAGTGTTTCTTATGTCTTTTTAGTCGATACTATCATACGACGACATTTTAAAACGGTCAAGAAATTGGCTGGTCTAATTCTGGATGGCGCAGCACAACACTTGCATTCTGATCTTATTTCTGCGAAGTCTTCACGCCCGATGTGCCACGGCTTCCGGCTTATGTCTTGTCGCACATCGGCATATCGAGATTCTGTATTGGCATTCCTGACGCCCTATCTTACGTGTGAAGAGATGGAAGTACAGAAGCCAAGACTTGAACTGTTCTCATAGTAATCATTCTTTGTGTGTTAAATAGGCTGACTCTCGAGTAATCTATTAACATATTTGCTGCCCATAGTGAATGTAGTCCATTTTTTTGCTGAAAATTTTGAATTTATAGTTTCAAAATAAAGCGAATTTCTCTCTCTCCCTCTCTCTCTCTCTCTCTCTGTCTCTCTCTCACTCTCTCTCTCTCTCTCTCTCTCTAAAATGCCGGCCGTAGTTAGTTTCCTCGGGGGAAGTAGAGGGATGCGCTAATCGATAAAATCCCTAAAGCCCACAAGGTTGAGACGCAGTCCTGCATGTAGCCTAGAGCACCATTCTTCGGGGACGGGGTAACCATTCAGTCATCGACTGAGAGGTACTACCCTTATGACAGTTCGACCGTCACATCCGACGAAGTCCACCCTGTGCTCCACAGCGAGGTGGGAGCAGGCACGGTTTACGAGACTCTCGATCTGAAAACGGAGAAAGGGCAGAAAAAGACGTTAAAATCGCTCTCTACAACCATCTGTTTGAGAGTATGTGCACAGTCCCAGGGTTTTCAAACAGCAGTTGAGTCATTATGCCGGAAGTCCACCGGGGCAGAGGTACGACGCCAGATTATGAAAGCAGGTCCTTCGTTTAGCGTAGTGTGACGTGTGGTAGTCTCCATGCCTGATTATTCTCTGTCAGCCTCCAAGGCAAACTACTGTGTTGAAAATAGGAGGTGTACTGAGTACGAGAAACAGCACAAGGATGGAGGCTTGTGGAAACGGTCGGGTATATGGCAGGGGTGGACTGCCATGAGCTGATTGGTAGCCAATTATCACAAAGAAGGTGTGAACAGGGAACTCACACGTTCCGTTGTGCCTTAGGTCTCTCTCTCTCGTCAGATCCGGCATTCGTGGTAGTGACGGTGGTGGTTGTGATGGTGGTGGTGTTGCTAGTAGTGGTAGTGGCGGCCAATTATCACAAAGACGGTGTGAACACATGGTGGTGGTGGTGGTGTTGCTGGTGGTGGTGGGTGGCGGAGCCTAGGTGGTGAAGGCGGCCGCCATGGTGGACGTCGTGGAAGTTGGATCAGGTGCGGTCGGAGAGGGAGTGATCGATTTTCTCGGACTGACGCATTGAATCCGGTGATGTCCTACGTGCCTGATTTGTGCCTCTAAATCAGCTGGGCCGGATGGCATACCGCCCAAATTGTTGAAGGAGCTCCCTAGAGAACTCTTTAAACCGCTCTACATGCTCGTCCAAGCTTCATTCGAGGCAGGCTATTTGCCCACCGATTGGAAATCTGCATGGATCACGCCAATTTATAAAGGCGGCAGCAATGTCTTAGCAGTCTGCTACAGACCAATCAGCCTTATTTCAATTTGCTGCTAAATTATTGAAAATATAACCAAGCTATAACTACTGCACTTCC